GTGAGCAGGGTAATATGAGTGAGGTGAAAGTGTTGAATGATGATGAAAGTATTTTCTTTTTGGGGATTTTCTTTTTGGGTCACCCTGCCTCGGTGGGAGAAAAATCAATTAATTGATACAATGCTGATTGTAATCTGGATAGGCAGTTTGCAATGAATAAATATAGCATTTTATATTCAGTCTTTGTAAAATTACATAAGGTTCAGGTTTAGAATCTTTTGGCAGAGAGCCATATTTTTGGGCCTTTTATAAGATAAGATAAGATTTCGTTCGGATTTTTAACCCCGGAGGGTTAGCCACCCAGGATAACCCAAGAAAGTCAGTGCGTCATCAAGGACTGTCTAACTTATTTCCATTGGGGTCCTTAATCTTGTCCCCCAGGATGCGACCCACACCAGTCGACTAACACCCAGGTACCTATTTGCTGCTAGGTGAACAGGACAACAGGTGTAAGGAAACGTGTCGAAATGTTTCCACCCGCCGGGAATCGAACCCGGGCCCTCCGTGTGTGAAGCGGAAGCTTTAGCCACCAGGTTGAGTTAAATATATTGGCTGTCAAAAAGGTATTTGTTTCTTGCACTATTTTGTGTTTGCATTCTGTTGCAGCTCTCTAAGAAGAGCTTAGAGCTGGCTTTATATTTATATAAATGTCCTGTTTATATAATATACACAGTAGCAAGTGTGGATGTTTTGTATATTGAGTTAATTTAAACTTTTGAATGATGAGGTTGTGTGTTGTCTGGAACCTGATTAAGTGATCATCGTGATAGCAAATTTTTGCTGATTTATGATGAGTTTTAGGTGATATGCTGGATAAACAACAGCATTAGCTGACAGGTAGCTAGAAAGGCACTATGTTTACAGAGAAATCTTCATTGTGACATTTCATACAGGACTGTACTCCATCAGGTATACAAAAACACTGATATGCTGTTTTATAAGGCAAATGAGCACACTAAGGTCAGGCTTGGGTGAGGTCACAAATCCTCAACTGTTTTGTAAGGCAGTGAATCTGTTTTTGTATTCGTGATGAAGGCCATTCCTGAAGAAAATGTCACAACGGTTTCTGTGCAAACATAGTGTTTTTCTAACCACTAGGTGATTTGAGGTGTAGCTCCCCATGTACATCTACCATAGGTGAGACAGGGATAACTTAGGAAGTGATTCAGAGTAATGATGTTGAGGTATGTAATAATGTATTTTAGAAAGAAGGCCCACTGTTTTGGAAATATTAGATATATGATAAAAGTTAGTGTTGAATTTTAGTTGGTGATCAAGGTATATACTTAAGAATTTTTCCCCTCATCTTGGTTTTTGATGTGTACTATACGTACATGAATAAAACAAACATGCACAAAGTATGAATGCATTTGGTACAAACTAACCAAGGAAAAATATTTGGCCAGTTTGTAAGTACAGTAGTCCTGCATATCAGAAGAGTGGGTCCATATACACAAGTGATTAATTGATTCCAGAGTAAATATGTTGTAAAAGTGGAATATTGCAAGTACAGTGTGTATAGATTGTAAGTCAGGGGACTTACTGTATATATTTTAAGACTTACCACCTTTTCTTATGTATTTTTTCTCTACTAATTTATATCAGCTTTTCTTTGTTCCTTGTGTCTAGTTTATTTACTGTATTTAGTTACATTGTTATTGTTGCTATCAGTATGGCTACTGTGTATTAAGGTATCCTCATATTTTGTCTATCTTTCTGGCTACCTTGTTAATGTTTTCTCTTTTTTTTATTTAATTTACTGACAGTACTCTTGTCATAAAAGTTCAAAATTACATTTCATAATTGCAGTACTAATTCTTCAGGAGATGGTCATGTGAGGCATTATATATGGTCAGTACTGTACATGTGTGTGTGTGTGTGTTAGCACAGCTCCAAAACACAGGGACAGATTTGGATGAAATACTGGGCTAGTGACAAGGAATTTCTTATTAGATATTGGAGCATAGAATCATAACTGCAACAACACTAAATTATAAGCCAAAATTGACAATTGGTTGTTGGCAGTGTATGTACCTGCAGATGCCAAAAATCTAAAAAAAAGTTCTTCCTGGTATTTAGTTAGCATAGTTACTTCACAGTTTTGCACTTCAGTAGGTAATCCAGTGTTGTGCAGTGTCTGTCTTTTATGGTTGCACTATGTTAGCTAATCCTTTGCTATAAATCTAATGCAGTAGTATATGATAATGCTGGTTGTAATACTCCAACAAATCGTGCTGCAGATATTGCATTACCTAACATTTGAATGCATTCATTAAGGTGTTCACATTTTATCTTTCCAATTTGATTTACCATTTATTTTTAACCATGCACTACTTACTGTCTCATTTCCACTTCTCTGGCCAAGTTGACTGTCACACAATGTTAAGGCATGTCACCGCTGCTGCTCCATTTGATAATGAGCTATTCTTTCAATCACACCTTAATATATTTTTGGTTAATGATATTTTAGATACCTTTTGTATGTGTAGCCTTTCTGTCATGACTTGGGCTAAAAATTTACATACATACTCTATAAAAATGCACAAATGGTAGGTACAGTGGAACCTCAGTTTTTGTGATTAATCAGTTCTAAAAAGCCTGACAAAAACTGAAGCAATATATCCCATGAGAAATAATGTGAAACCAAATAATCCGTTCCAGACACCCAAAAATATTAACAAAAAATACTTTTTATAGAGAATAACTAAAGTTTTACATACAGAAAACAATGAGAAATAGTAAATATAAATGACTAATGAAATGGATAAAGGAACATTTAACATCACTTATAGGAGGTAGGTTACTGAAAGCAGTGAAGAGTTTTTACGAGGATAGTGAGGCTCAAGTTAGAGTATGTAGGAAAGAGGGAAATTATTTCCCAGTAAAAGTAGGCCTTAGACAAGGATGTGTGATGTCACCGTGGTTGTTTAATATATTTATAGATGGGGTTGTAAGAGAAGTAAATACGAGGGTCTTGGCAAGAGGCGTGGAGTTAAAAGATAAAGGATCACACATAAAGTGGGAGTTGTCACAGTTGCTCTTTGCTGATGACACTGTGCTCTTGGGAGATTCTGAAGAGAAGTTGCAGAGGTTGGTGGATGAATTTGGTAGAGTATGTAAAAGAAGAAAATTAAAAGTGAATACAGGTAAGAGTAAGGTTATGAGGATAACAAAAAGATTAAGTGATGAAAGATTAGATATCAGATTGGAGGAAGAGAGTATAAAGGAGGTGAATGTATTCAGATATTTGGGAGTGGACGTGTCAGCAGATGGATCTATGAAAGATGAGGTGAATCATAGAATTGATGAGGGGAAGGGTGAGTGGTGCACTTAGGAGTCTTTGGAGACAAAGAACTTTGTCCTTAGAGGCAAAGAGGGGAATGTATGAGAGTATAGTTTTACCAACGCTCTTATATGGGTGTGAAGCATGGGTGATGAATGTTGCAGCGAGGAGAAGGCTGGAGGCAGTGGAGATGTCATGTCTGAGGGCAATGTGTGGTGTGAATATAATGCAGAGTATTCGTAGTTTGGAAGTTAGGAGGAGGTGCGGGATTGCCAAAACTGTTGTCCAGAGGGCTGAGGAAGGGTTGTTGAGGTGGTTCGGACATGTAGAGAGAATGAAGCGAAACAGAATGACTTCAAGAGTGTATCAGTCTGTAGTGGAAGGAAGGCGGGGTAGGGGTCGGCCTAGGAAAGGTTGGAGGGAGGGGGTAAAGGAGGTTTTGTGTGCGAAGGGCTTGGACTTCCAGCAGGCATGCATGAGCGTGTTTGATAGGAGTGAATGGAGACAAATGGTTTTTAATACTTGACGGGGTGTTGGAGTGTGAGCAAAGTAACATTTATGAATGGGTTCAGGGAAACCGGCAGGCCGGACTTGAGTCCTGGAGATGGGAAGTACAGTGCCTGCACTCTGAAGGAGGGGTATTAATGTTGCAGTTTAAAAACTGTAGTGTAAAGCACCCTTCTGGCAGGACAGTGATGGAGTGAATGATGGGGGAAGTTTTTTTTGGGCCACCCTGCCTTGGTGGGATTCGGCCAGTGTGTTAATAAAAAAAATAACATCACTTTTACCTTTATTGAAGACTCTTATTGTCATATGTTGAACATGTTGCAGACACAGCCTGCAACTGCTTTTAGTGTGATATTTCTCCACAAAAGTTTGCAACTCACTCCCCTTTGCACACATGTCCTTAATCACTGAAGAAGGCACATTTTCCCCTCTCTTCCTAGTCCTCTGAAGCAATTTCCTCAGCTGCAGTCTGTTGCTGTTCCAGTTAAAGGTCTTGCAGCTCTTCCCTGTCATCGTCCACCAACTCTTCCACATCCTGGCCACTCACATCCAACCCCATGGACTTCCCCGAAGACACAATATTCTATCGTGTTTCTCGCCTTCTTTATCAAAGGGCAGGCACTCGGAACTTTCTTTGGCCCCATGGTGGCTTATTTAGCAGTCGCACTCAATAAACAAGCATAAAAAACAATGGATTATTATGAAATGTTTCGGGTGAATGCGTAGGGTGATGCTCACTCAATGAGAAACAAAGGCAGACTGAGTCACAAACACACGGGATGCTTTATGTGGGCTGAGTGGCTGAGTCATGTGGACACATTTGGTATGGACCATTTTCAACTCTACGAAAACCGAGCAAATGTACAAAATGAAACAAAATTTCAAGAAAAAAGTCAGTCGAAAACCGGATCCTACAAAAACTGGGGCTTACAAAAACTGAGGTTGCACGGTATGTATGTAAATGCAGTGTTGACAGTGTAATGATCACTGGTTATTGGAAATGGGAAGACACACTGGGAGACTTAAATGTAACAGATAATGAAGTGAGGGCTGCATATTTCTTCGTGTGAGACGCTGAAGAGGTCCTCAGACACTGAAATATTTTGAACTTTAAGATTAATACCTTACCAGCTAAACATAACTTTAGTTTAAATTAATTAGTTGTGATTAAACTATATAAAAGTTTCATCCAGGAATTTTTTAATTTCAGTTTTTAAATTGCCACAAGTCAAGACTGTATGAAAAACAAGATTTGGGGAGTGATTCTGAAGGCTCCAGTGGAATGGGCTTTGGAAGCACTTACACTCTGCCTTTGTCGGTACATCAACCTATATTATATGGAAGTGCTATATCATCTAAACAGCCATACACTAACAAGGCTGTGGTAGATTTTGGTGCCACGTTTACGAAAGGGACTAAGGAGGGATCTTATGAGGAGAAAAGTTTTGGAAGTACATACACTTTGAAAAATGCTGTCAGTGTAACAGCTGGTGGTGAAGAATTTGAATTTTCCCATAGATCAGCAAGTCGATCAGAGGATGGACCAGAGAAGGTAGATTCTGCTTATCATCTACTTGGTAGTGCCTTTTTAAACAAAGAAGCTGCTGTTCAGAGAACATGTTCATCTGACAGTCATGATACACGTGATATCCATGGCATGTGTAGTGATTCCTATAATACCAGACCACGTTCACTGAGTAGTAATAGATGTATGGACGGAAGAATAAGTGGGGAGAGCTCTGATGATGTACAACAAAGCCGAATTAATGTTGTGAAAAGGGACACAGACACTACTTCCAATGATGGCTCAGAATGCACTGTCATGAGCCTTGGAAGGAAAATACAGATTATGGCAAGTGGTCAACCAAAGAAGCAAGTGAATCATGATAATAAGGATGAAAACTGGGACACAGAATGGAAACAATTGCTGAAGCAGAACCACGAGTTACTTTTAAGGTTGTCAAATAGAGAAGATTTTCCATTTCTAGATAATACATCAAGGGTCAGTGGTGGTAATCCAGTGTCAGTACATGACAGCGGTGTTCAGACAAGTTTTACTAAAGACTTGGAAGAAAAAGGTCCCTTGGACTGTGCATTAAATATAGACATACCTGAAACAGTAAATTACTCTGAATATGATGGAAGTGATGGTCTTTTAAGTCTTTGTTTGGAAGATAGACAAACAGATGAAAATGAAGAAAAGGGGTCAATCACAACGTCTGCAAGTCCTGAGTGTGTCCTTGAAGATATTATAGAGGAATCAAGTTTAAGTGATAAATCATCCCCAAGAACAATAGTAAATACTGGTAACCCAGATAGCTTGGAGGAAACTAAAGTGAAAAGTGAAAGAGAAATGGATTCAATTGAAAATGCAAGCCAGTCAAACCCAGAGGTTTCTACTACTCAAGGAATGTTCAAATATGACAATTCTGAATTTGCAAATATACCATCAGCTGAAAAAAAGGAAAATTGTCCTAAATTATTCTCCAGTTCAACAGATTTTTCTTGCACGACAAACCTCCCAGCTTATCACTTGGGTGCAGCTACAACATATATCATACGTAGTAGATTCTCTCGAGAAAAGCAGCTTAAGCCACAGCCTTCAAAAGATTTGTTGGATGCTCTGCAAATGCTTGAAGATGAAGAAAAAAAGAATATTGAAGCTCAAGAAAAGGAGTGTGCCTCAACAAACAAAGTTGATGGTGCAGACGAATGTGAAACTCAAATGCCAGTCCAAGGTTCGAGCACAAGTGCAAGTTATGTGTATAATCTTGGAGAATATGAGGCAAGCAATAAGGAGACTTCCAGCTCAGTTCAGAGGTACGTATGTTGAATGTAGCACTCTTATGTCTGTGAAATACAGAATTATTTGTAGCCAGAGAGAAGATTTGCTTGTGGCGTGTCGTAAAGTAGTGTCTCCAATAGTGTTTCTTTCTCAGAATAATGTATGTGTAGGATTGCACAAAGTATGGAAAACTTCAAATGTTTCTGCAGTAACTGTTTATATAAATAAGAATTTTTTAGATACTTCTGCATGAAAATTTCAAGAAATTTTTCTTTCTAGATAGGGAAAATTCAAATTTAAAAAATCAAAATTTCAGTTAACATTTTTTACTCCTACATTCAGCTTTTGTTTCTATATTAAAATCAGATAAATTTTACCAAAGGGCAACTTCATTTACCTATGCACCCCTGACAACCTCCATGACATACCCCTCACAACATCCCCACACCTCTGACAACCACCCAGCACCCCTGCATTGCTACCACTATTTTCTCATACATTCCCCCTCTTTGCTTCCATGGATTATGTTCTTTGTCTCCACACACTCCTCAGTGCTCCACTCACCTTTTTCCCATTTGTAGAGTTAGGAAACTGTTAGTGAAAATGCAGCATGCTTGCAATTTTTTTTTTGGTGTGAAAGAATTTTTTGAAGACATTGTATTTTTTTTTTATTAACACATTGGCTGTTTCCCACCAAGGCAGGGTTGCCCGAAAAAGAAAAACTTTTATCATCATTCACTCCATCATTGTCTTGCCAGAGGCATGCTTACACTACAGTTATAAAATTGCAACGTAAACACCCCTCCTTCAGAGTGCCGGCACTGTGCTTCCCATCTCCAGGGCTCAAGTCTGACCTGCTGGTTTCCCTGAATCCCTTCATAAATGTTACCTTGCTTATGCTCCAACAGCACGTCAAGTCCTGAAAATCATTTGTCTCCATTTGCTCCTATTTAACACGCTCACGCACGCTTGCTTGAAGTCCACGCCCCTCACATGCAAAACCTCCTTTAATTCCCCCCCCTCTCCAACTTTTCCTAGGCCGACCCCTACCCTTCCTTCCTACCACTACAGATTTATACACTCAAAGTAATTCTGTTTCGTTCCATCCTCTCTACATGTCCAAATCATCTCAATAACCCTTCCTCATCCCTCTGTATAATAATTTTGGTAATCACACACCTCTTCCTAATCTCTACAGATTCTCTGCATTATATTCACACCACACATTGCCCTCAGACATGATGTCTCCACTGCCTCCAGGCTTCTTTTTGTTGCAACATTCACAACCCACGCCTCAGACTCGTACAATAGTGTCGGTATAACTATACCCTCATACATTCCCCTCTTTGCTTTCATGGATAAAGTTCTTTGTCTCCATAGACTACTCAGTGCACCACTCACATTTTTTCCCCTCATCAGTTCTGTGATTTACATTATCTTTAATAGACCCATCTGCTGATACATCCACTCCCAGATATCTGAATACATTCACCTCCTCCATACTCTCTCCCTCCAATCTGATATCCAATCTTCTATTACTTAATTTTTTTTGTCATCCTCATCACCTTACTCTTTCCTATATTCACTTTTAATTTCCTTTTACATACCCTACCAGACTCATCAACTAACCTCTCCAACTTCTCTTCAGAATCTCCCAGAAGCACAGTATCATCAGCAAAGAGCAGCTGTGACAACTCCCACTTGTGTTAGATTCTTTATCTTTTAATCCCACACCTCTCGCCAACACCTGAGCATTTGCTTCTCTTACAATTTCATCTATAAATATATTGAACAACCATGGTGACATCACATGTCCCCTTTGCCTTTATACAAAGGAACTATGCATGCTTTCTGCCAATCCCTAGGTACTTTACCCTCTTCCATACATTTATTAATAAAAACACCAACCACTCCAAACCTATATCCCCACCTGGTTTTAACATTTCTATATTTATAGGCAGTAGGTTGGTAGACAGCACCCACCCAGGGAGGTACTACCATCCTACCAAATGAGTGTGAAACATAAGCCTGTAATTGTTTTGCATGATGGTAAGATTGCTGGTGTCTTTTTCTGTCTCATAAGCATGCAAGGTTGAAGGTATGTCTTGCTACTTCTACTTACACTTAGGTCACACTACACATGCGTGTACGAGCATATATATACTAACCCCTATGGGTTTTCTTCTATTTTCTTCCTAGTTCTTTTTCTTGTTTAATTCTGCTTATCTCCATGGGGAAGTGCAACAGAATTCTTCCTCCATAAGCTATACGTGTCATAGGAGGCAACTAGATGCCAGGAGCAATGGACAAGTAACCCCTTCTCTATAAATTATTAAAAAGAAGAACTTTATAAAATTGGGATGTTTGAATGTGCATGGATGTAGTGCAGATGATAAGAAAGAAGTGATTGCAAAAGTTATGAATGAAAGGAAGTTGGATATCCTGGCCCTAAGCAAAACAAACTGAAGGGGGTAGGGGAGTTTCAGTGGGGAGAAATAAATGGGATTAAGTCAGGAGTATCTGAGAGAGTTAGAGCTAAGGAAAGGGTAAGAATAATGTTGAAGGATCAGTTATGGGGAGAAAAGAGGGAATATAAATATATAAATTCAAGGATTATGTGGATTACAATAAGGGTCGGATATGAAAAATGGGTCATAATGAGTGTGTATGCACCTGGAGAAGAGAGGAATGTAGAGGATTTTGTTAAACAAGTGTGTAGGAACTTTTGAGCGAAGTGAAAGGGTAATTATGGCAGGGGACCTAAATGCTAAAGTAGGAGAAGCATTTAGAGAGGGTGTGGAAGGTAAGCTGAGGGTGCCAGGTGTAAATAATAATGGGGAGCATTTGATTGAACTTTGTATAGAAAGGGGTTTGGTTATAGGAAACACATATTTTAAGAAAAAGAGGATAAATAAGTATACAAGATATGATGTAGGGCGAAATGACAGTAGTTTGTTGGACTACGTATTGGTAAATAAAAGATTGTTGGGTAGACTTCAGGATGTACATGTTTATAGGGGGGCCATAGATATATCAGATCACTTTTTAGTTGTAGCTACAGTGAGAGCAAAAGGTAGATGGGATACAAGGAAAATGGAAGCAGCAAGTAAGAGAGAAGTGAAGGTTTATAAACTAAAGGAGGAGGCAGTTAGGGTAAGATATAAACTGTTGGAGGACAGATGGGCTAGTGAGAATACAGGCAGTGGGGTAGAAGATGTATGGGGTAAGTTTAAGAATATAGTGTTAGTGTTCAGCAAAAGTTTGTGGTTACAGGAAGGTGGGTGCGGGAGGGAAGAAGAGTGACTGGTGGAATGATGATGTAAAGAGAGTAGTAAGAGAGAAAAAGTTAGCATATGGGAGGTTTTTACAAAGTAATAGTGATGCAAGGAGGGAGGAGTATATGGAGAGAAAAAGAGAAGTTAAAAGAGTGGTGAAGCAATGTAAAAAGAGATCAAATGAGAGAGTGGGTGAGATGTTATCAATAAATTTTGTTGAAAATAAGAAAAAGTTTTGGAGTGAGATTAATAAGTTGAGAAAGCCTAGGGAAAGAATAGATTTGTTAGTTAAAAATAGGAGAGAAGAGTTAGTAAATGGAGAGTTAGAGGTATTGGGAAGATGGAGGGAATATTTTGAGGAATTGTTAAGTGTTGATGAAGATAGGGAAGCTGTGATTTTGTGTATAAGGCAAGGAGGAATAACATCTTATAGGAGCAAGGAGGAACCAGTTGTGAGTGTGAGGGAGTGTGTGGGGCAGTGAGTAGAATGAAAGGGGGTAAAGTAGCTGGGATTGATGGGATAAAGATAGAAATGTTAAAAGCAGGTGGGAATATAGTTTTGGAGTGGTTGGTGTTCTTATTTAAAAATGTATGGAAGAGGGTAAGGTACCTAGGGATTGGCAGAGAGCATGCATAGTTCCTTTGTATAAAGGCAAAAGGGACAAAAGAGAGTGTAAAAAATTATAGGAGAATAAGTCTGTTGAGTATACCTGGTAAAGTGTATGGTAGTTATTATTGAAAGAATTAAGAGTAAGATGGAGAGCAGGATAGCAGATGAATAAGGAGGCTTTAGCAAGGGTAGGGGGTGTGTAGAGCAAGTGTTTGCAGTGAAACACATAGGTGAACAGTATTTAGATAAGGGGTAAAGAGGTATTTGTGGCATTTATGGATTTGGAAAAGGCATATGATAGGGTGGATAAGCGGGCAGTATGGTAGATGTTGCAAGTGTATGGAATAGGAGGTAGGTTATTGAAAGCGGTGAAAAGTTTTTACAAGGATAGTGAGGCTCAGGTTAGAGTATGTAGGGGAGAAGGGGATTATTTCCCAGTAAAAGTAAGCCTTAGACAGGGATGTGTGATGTCACCATGGTGGTTCAATATATTTATAGATGGAGTTGTAAGAGAAGTGAATGCTCGGGTGTTGGCAAGAGGTGTGGGGTTAAAAGATAAAGAAACTAACACAAAGTGGGAGTTGTCACAGTTGCTCTTTGCTGATGACACTGTGCTTCTGGGAGATTCTGAAGAGAAGTTGCAGAGGTTTGTGGATGAGTTTGGTAGGGTATGTAAAAGAAGCAAGTTGAAAGTGAATATAGGAAAGAGTAAGGTGTTGAGGCTAAAAAAAATTAGGTAACGGAGTTTGGATATCAGATTGGAGGGAGAGAGTATGGAGGAGGTGAATGTGTTCATAAATTTGGGAGTGGACATGTCAGCAGATGGGTCTTTGAAGGATGAGGTGAATCATAGAATTAACGAGGGGAAAAAGGTGAGTGGTGCACTGAGGAGTCTGTGGAGACAAAGAACTTTATCCATGAATGCAAAGAGGGGAATGTATGAGAGTATAGTTATACCAAGACTCTTGTATGGGTGTGAGGCATGGGTTGTGACTGTTGCAACAAGGAGAAGGCTAGAGGCAGTGGAGATGTCATGTCTGAGGGCAATGTGTGGTGTGAATGTAATGCAGAGAATCCTTAGTTTGGAGATTAGGAAGAGGTGTGGGATTACCAAAACTATTATCCAGATGGCTGAGGAGGGGTTATTGACATGG